TAGGGTCAGAAAGATGACCAGAGAATTTTATTCCCAGCCAAGCTATCCTTCAAAACTATAGTGATTTCTCAAGCATACAAAAATGCAGTGAATACAACAATCATAAGCCCTTCTTGAAAAAAACACTATTTAATGATGATATCTCACTAGTTAACAGATGAATCAAAATAAAGGACTCAGATATGGAGAAGCTGTGCTAAAAGTCCTGGTGGTGGGTATATAATTGATTCAAATTAAAAAACTATCTGTATATAACTGTGAGAATTATGGTTATAGAACAAAATATAAATGCTACAAACTTCCACAATGTACAAATAATACTATAACTGACAAAATAGAGTGGTAGGGGTGGGTGGAAGGAAGTGTAAGCATGGTAATTTTATTTTTTTACAGTATGGAGTGAATTAATGCTCTCAAAAATTGAATCATAAACTCTGAAAATGACTCTAACCTCAATGTATTTTTAATCTACTTCTTACTGTTCAAAGAAATCATCTCTCATTATAGTAAAGAAACATTTTCTAAATTTCAGAAATTCCTTCAATTCCCCTTGTTTCTTTACGTAAACTGATTTCACATAAAATTAAATATTTTAATAAGTGGCAAATACAGCATGATCCTGTTTCTAAAAATATTATTTCTAAAAAATTATTATTTTATCTATTTATCTATCTCTCATATAAATTTCTGAAATGATGCTCTATAACAGTGTTGGGGAACCTGTCTTCTGCAAAGCACCATTTGGATATTTATAACATCATTCACAGGCCATACAAAATTATCGACTTAAAAATTAGCTGTTTAAAAAGCTCCTAGATTTATTGAACTTCAAGCCCTGCCTGCGGTTGCCTTGGCAGGGCCAGACCAAATGATTTTGAGGGCAGGGCTCTATACAGCCTGCAGGCAGGACATTCCCCACCCCTGCTCTATAAGATTAACAATAGTTCTTCCTAAAAGGTAAGATTTGGGTAGAATTTTTGCTTCCTACATTGAGTGAAGTTATCATGTCAAATGGCGACAGCTCCCTTTGAGGGAATATCTTTATCAAGGGACATAGTCTCCCTTCAAACACATGGGTTATGGGTCTGTGAACTGTGAACTTAGATCTGGAAACTTGAAGGACCATGGTTTTCCACTGAAATGGAGAATTGTAAATAGTAAAATTACCAACTATTGTGAATATGCTGCCTATTTAAGGAAGAGACAAAGGTCAGTTCAACATTGTGAACAATTAATTATACACATCAGACTAACAGGAGTTCAAGGGCACTTTGCTTTGAAGTGTTAGCCACTGAAATACAGGAGCTTTTCTATAGGGCTCCGGGTAACAATTCAGTTCATCCCACCTCCTCCCACTCAAGGGCTCCCTGTGAACACATTTGCTTTTTGTGAAATTTAGCACTACTTTTACATAGTTCATAAGACTCACGGCAGTAAGATCCATACTCAAAGACAAGAGCATCATGCCCTGGTTTTTCCATTTAAGAGATACAGACTTAGATCACGGGGTCATGTCTCTGAGTAGTTTCCCATCTACATTTGCAAAACAGCACACTTGAAATGTCAAAATAAGTTACCAAATTCTCCAGAGCTCCAGAAATTTAGCTGAAGTGGAACAGTCTATTGCAAAGTTAGCACCATTTCACTGGACTGATTTTATGGCCTTGCTAAAAGATGTTGGGATCTTTTTTTAAAAATTGCAGTTATATGACATAAAATGTGCTATTGGACATTACATCTAATGAGAGATAAAGACTCCCTTAAAGATAAACTTAGAAACAATCTGCTTTGAGACCTTGGAGTTAGAGGAAAAGTACATTTTAGCACAGAACATACCACAGTATGGTCTGATGTTCTGAACAACTTCTTAATAGAAACAGGCACACACACACAAAAGTAAAAAGTCAGCAGTGCATCAAGAGCAGAAATAGAATTTGTCATCTCTGGGTGGCCATATTTGCTGCAACACAAAGAGCCACCCATGCAACCTGCCAGTCAACAGTTGCTTTAGTCATGCGGCTTCTCTTCATTTAAAAGTTTAATAATGCTGTGCTAACTGCTATCAGAGATGGAGCAAGGGCCTGCCAGCATGCACTGCTTCTCTGTGCCTTTTCTTCTCCAGGCAACCACCAGCAGGCAGGGCAGGCCCCGCTGAAGCCCCGAAGCTCAGGGCGCACTGCGGGCTGAAGGCTGGGAGCGCGGCAGTGACGACGAAGGAAAGCTGAGAAACGAAGGCTGTGCTGGAAGCAGGTACCACGCTCTGTGGTTTCCTTTCCCAGCTACCACTTCGAACACCTACCCAGCACCTGCAGGTGATAAGCGACAATAATTACCCTGCGCTTTTAAAACTTTTTGAAAAATTTGCTACATTTTCTGTGTTATCTGTCAGATCTCAATCAAAATCCCCAGGAAGGATTCAGGTAGCCAAGTGCATCAAGCAGCTTTGTCCTCTTGGTTTCATGATGCTCCACTCCTGCCACTCAAATCAGAAACATTCATTAAGGAAGAATACACCCCCTAAGAGTTCAACATTGTTGGTAAAAATGTGTCTTATTTGTGTATTTTAATGTATTTTACCTTACGGTAACATGTAAGGGGCTGATCCTTCACTGTTTTTTTATAATCAACACCAAATATTTATTCATTCTGGAGAATCTCAGCACTTGTCTAGCTGTTGAACTATATTGCCCCTAAAGGCTCTGCAGTGAAAAGAGAATATAAAGCTAAAGTTAGAGAATGATGGGATTGCCGAAAAGCAGAACCACCTCACCACCAGGAACCCTAGCATGTCCGCTCCGTTGTTTTTCACCAACCTGAATGAGGTTCGTGAAAAGACAATTAGAATTGTCTTTTTGTTTCAGTGGGTTACACAGGAAAGAAACAGGAAATCTTGATGAAAGCTGGGGCTTCACAGGATATTTGTGCGAGTGTTTATCCCACGCGTTTGATGTTTTTCTCTCCACATCTGCACATTTTATGCCTTTATTCTGGCTAAAATATTTTTAAATACCTCTTTGCTTTTTCCCTCCTCATTACAGTTCCTGGCGTGATGCTTTCTATATGAGAGGGGCTCAAAAATTAAAACTGAGTAAGGAAACTTAGGCCCAGAAGGCACAAGTTATTCATTTCTCTGGATGTCCATTTCCTCACTATAAAATGCAAGGATAAAACCGGATAAGTGCCTCTAAAACTTTTCCCCAAAGTTCCCCAGCAGCAGTGAACATGAATGGTACCCCCTGGGGGATCTGAGGGCAAGCTGGAAGTTTCTTTGAAACGCCCTATTTTCTCTGAAAAATTCATGAGAACTTTGCATTTTATAAAACAGGAAAGTCTATGTTTGTTTTAAAATAAATGTTACCTCAACAGTGAAACTATGTGCTTTCCCACAAATAATCCTGTGAACGCGCCCCTCCAGGAAACGAACACAGCTTCCATCACCCGGCACAGGCCCACCACCCCGGGGCCCAGCACCCCGTCCGAGGAGCCTGGGGATCGGCATCTAAACATCCCACAGTATGAAATGCTACAGCCACTTAAGATTTAAACGTTTAAGATTTTTATATTGTAGAGAAAGGAAGGTAATAAAAAAATGGTCACACTTGCACTTGACCGGGAACTAAGAAGGCCATGGGAAGCCCCAAGGTAAGACAGTGCAGCTGGAAAGGGAGGGAGGTAGGGAGTTAGGGGCGGAACCAGCAATGTCTGCATCAGTCACAGACACACAGGGGCTGAGGTCTAGTCAGACAAAGGCCCAGATCATGATCGCTGGCAGTGGAGGGGACCTTGGAGGGGACTATGGCGGAGGACAGCCCCTTCCATGCGCACATCCCTCCGCAACACTCCAACTGCTATTCCCACACTCAGGGGGAGAAAGTACCGGCTCCTGAGAAACTGCACACTTGAGTGATTCTGTAGGAAAGAACCACTTTGGAATGACTCAAAACATTCCTCATAGTACCATCTACACTCGGGGTCACCTTCTGCTCCCGGACTCCATGGAGTCTGCTAGGGCGTAGACAAAAAGCCTGGCTCAGGTGCAGGTTCTGACTCTAGTGCCTACTTACTGTGTGAGACCTCGGCCAGTTACTAACCAATGTGCTCCAGTCTTAGAATATGGGGGCAGGAGATGGTGGTACCCGCTTCCCAGACCACTGTGGGGTGGGACGTGCTGAAGGCACGGACAGTGTGCAGAAACGGCGCCTGGCCCAGAGAAGGAAGGCCCTACTGGCTGTTAGCTGTTAGGATTATCACATAGCCCAATAGTAACATTTCCTCAATTACAGACGTAGAATTTAAAAATAGATATTGAATTCTCCTTAGTCTTGTCTTCTCTTGGCAAAATGTCCTGACATGGTTCCAAACTTTTCTATATGATAGAAGCACTCCTTTGAACATGTATGAGTCCGTCAGTGTCCTACGTAAAATGGGCAACCAGAACTGACGTTTTCCGTATACTGCCTGATGTATAAACAATTTCCTGGATACCGTGTCTCTCGCCTCCTTTATCCCAGCATCCCAGGGGTTTCTATATTCCTCGTTACCCCCACCTTATACCGCTCACATCCCTACACCTGCTCCGCCACAGACTTTCTGCAGACGATCTTCTAACGGAAACATATTTCTGTCTGATTCTTGAGGTTAGGCATGATTGGGCCAGAGGGTGTAAACATTTCTCATGACCCTCGGTAGATACCAGAATCTTTCCAAAAAGGCTGCATTAATTTATGATGCCACTAGCAATATATGAAAAGACCAATTCTACTAAACTTTTGCCAACTTTAGATGGCTTATTGCCAACTCTATTTTGAATTTTTATTAACACCAAGGCTGAAAATGTCGCTGGATTTTATTGAAACAAATATTTTCAGTATTTCACAGATACTGGTAATAATGTTCTAGAATTCTTTCCATTGTGCAGAGGCTGTGTGATATGAGAGGTATTTGAAAGGGGTTATGCACGCATTAAGAATCAGCTGACGTCGCCAGAATGAAAGGCCTACCTGCTGCTCATATCGCTGCTTCACATCCTCCATCTGCCACAAAAACTCCTTTGACTGTTTCTCGCGAAGAGACTTAGATCTAGTTAGATCTGCTTCCACTTTTTCCATCTACAAAATAAAAAAATCAAACATCAAATTTTTAGACCAAAAATTGTATTCCATCTTTTAATCTGTCCATTCACTAAAATGACATATTTTAAATACCCCACCAATCATAATGACGAACTTAAAGATGATAAAGATAATAAAAGATATATCAGTTATTTTGGTATATTTTAACAGTTTAAGTCAGGAAAATTAAAATTAATATATACTTGACTAAGTTCTAAGATGGTTGATGCTAGATGATCAGTCTTGTGGTCAACAATAAATGTACTAAGAAATTATTAAAGGTCACACAGCCAAGCCCACTTTGTTTTCGTTTGTCTCTAACTCAGGATGTGGGTTTCAAGGCTCCCCTTCAATGCTTTCACATTAAACCTCGAGCAGGTGGCTCCTTAATTTGTCCCCTGCAATCTACGCTTCCTATACTCCAATATCCTTGGTCTTTCCCAAGCACACCAGGGCTACTCTTGACCCTCCCACTGTCAGAAAGCCGCTTCGTGTTTTTCCCCATGAAACAGTCCATCTTCAAGGCCGACTCAAGTCTCCTCTCCTCTCTGAGGTGCTCTTTAATCCCTCCAAGTGACGGGAGTGTCGTCCTCTCTGTGCTCCGGGCCGTCACATCTCTCCTTTTCTAGGACACTGTGTTTTCCTCTGTAGTGTGGAAGTACTTCCAACGTCTGAGCTTCATTCATTCCTCCAGATCCTGAGCTCCCAAGTAAAAGGCACTGTGGCATAATTCTTTTTTTTGTACCTTACTTATTAACCAATTGGCTTGGTCTGCAGAATAAATATGGATTCAGTCCTTACGGATGAATGAAAGGGCAGGGAAAAGCAAGAGGGGAAGAAAACAGAAGATGAGCCGGGGGGAAACATGGTTTCTTCAGTACTTTTAAGAGAGACCTTCATATGAAGTTGATTTTTGGTTCTTATTTGTCTTCAGCACAGATTGAATATTAAAATAAATAATAAATATTTCAAATATTAAATACTTAAAAATTTAGAGCTTCATATACTCCACATTTGTAAAATAGAATATCTTCTATCAAAAACCAGAATTATTTTCTATAATCAAAATAGCAGACAATTGAAAGCACATGAAACAACCTTTTATGCCTAAACATTAAGAAAAACTCCAAATAAATAATAATCAATACTATAAGATAATGAAACATGGGTTTTTTTAGATTATACTGACTGAGAATGCAAGAGCCCACTCCATTCTTATTCCACAATTTAACAAAATAATCAAAAACAATTCTTGTGAAATAGTTAAAGCTTGATAGAAACATAGAATTCTCAGTTGCCATAGATACAAAAGCTTCTGCTTTATCATGGTCATTCCATATTCCATTCAACTTCAAGTGTTCGAAACAAACACCACCACGCTCCTTTGCTGTGTAACTCCGGCTTCCACAAACCTCCGCCTGAGTCTTGGTGGTCAAATCAGAAGCGGCAAAGGCCTTGGCTGTGTCTCTGTGAACAGTGCGCGTTTAAAGCAAAAGGAGGGTGCAGGAGTCTCCTTACAAGGTGCCTTGGGCATTACTTTCACTCCATGTACTGTAAGAAAACCCAGGTATGCACAGCTTAAGCAACATAGGCCCTTTATGTTTTCCTCATGTAACAGAGTCCAGAAATGGGCTGCTGTACTGGGAGTTCAGGGATGTCGGGGTGAAGGACTCTGCCACTCAGCCTCCCCCTAATGGGTATGAAATGGCTTCTGCAGCTCTGAACATCTGGGAAGGAGAGGGCAGAGGGTGATGGGGAAGGGAGAAGGGCCAAGGGTCCATACTAGCCGAGCCAAATACCCTTTTAAGGGGCTTTCCCGAAGGATCCTGTCAGTAGCCAATTAATTATGTTGTTTGCACTGGAACAACATTCAGAAAAGGCAAGCTCCGTCTACAAGGCCAGAGGCGGCGGTTTTAAAGCTGTGTCTAATGTTGCCCTACAAGTACGAATGAACACTGGACCAGCATCTGGCAGGACCTGTCATATACGGTCAGAAGTTACTGCTCTTTCTCTAGCGCAGTATCTGCGCTACTAAATGCTCAGTAATTTAACACATACACTTCGTATTAGACCAGTATATATACAATTGTTTAGAAACATGCCATTCAAAATATATTTTAATGCATTTCATACATATTTGGATAAATGGTAAGAAATTGTCCTTCAAATATTTTCAGATATATGTAGAGATAGGTAGGTAGGTAGGCTAGCAGGCAGACAGATAATTATTTCTCTGCTTTAAAGACTAAGACTAGGGCTACCTGTTCGGGACCCCTCTCACTGAGGTGGGAGCTTTTGTCTCTCCTTTGATAAACTTTCACTTTCACTTAAAAAAAAGAGTAAGACTAATATCCTTAACAGGAAAAATCAATGAACACAATAATTGATTATATCTAGAGTTCTTTTGTGAGAGATCATCACTAACTGGTATGACAGACAATATGTCCAATGCCTGTGCTTTTGTTACTGATTTGTAGCAGTTTTAGCTATTTGGACATAAACTTCTTGCTCGATATCTGAATTGCAAATATCTTCTCTCGCTCTGAGCTTGCCCTTTCAGTTCCCACTGGTCTCTTGATGAACAGAAGGTTATTGTGTTTTTGTTGTTGTTTCTTAAATGAAGTTAAATTTAACAATATAATTTTGTATGCCTTTTTTGTTTTCTATTTAGAAAATCCTTGCCAAAACCTTCCTACCTTTTCTTTGGCAAGTGTCACTGTTTTGCCTATCACGGTCTATCTACAATCCCGGAATTCATTCTGTGGATGCAGCGAGACAAGGGGCAAGATTCTGGTTTTCCATCTGGCCATCCAATTGGCAGTGTTTATTAAATGACCATTCTCTCCCTGCTGCACTGCAATGCTTCCTTTGGCAGGAATCCGCTTGATCATACGTGTGAGTCTATTTCTGGCTTCTTTCTTCGGTAACAGTGGTCACCCTCGTGCCCAAACCACACTGTATTAATTACTATAGCTTACCAGTAGCCTCAGGATCTGGCAGTGTGGGTTCTCCAGCCGTGTTCCTCTCACAGATTGCCACAGCTATTCTTAGCCCTTTGCATTTTCATACACATTTTAGAATCAGCTTGTCAGTCTCCCTCACTCCCGCCCTAGAAGCACTGCCAACGTTTTGACTTTTAGAATTGTGTGGCTTCTGTAGATTAATTTAGGGAGTGACCTTTGTCTAACATTGAGTTTTCAAATCCATATACATGATACATCCCTCAATTTATGTAGGTCGTCTTTGGTTTCTCTCAATAGTATTTTCTAGTTTCTGAAACAGAGGCCTTGCAGAGCTTTTGTGAGATTTATTCTTAGGTAAGTGAGGCTTCCTGGTACTGTGATGTCTTTTACAAGGTTTATTTTCAATTCGTTGGCTACTGATAGAAATAAAAATGAATCGTATATCTGACCTAATGGCTAGTGACCTTGTTAAATTAATTACTAATAACATTTAACAAGTAAATATTTGAAAAATTCAGTTACACAAAGAAGACATAATTGCAAATAAATGCATAACTCACTGGGCTACCTTCGATATCCCTCCTCTGTGTCTCCTTAATGACCTATTTATCCCACTAGTTATACCACCTACTGTAATCATACACTTTTATGCACTGGTCTCTCACACAAGCCACAAACGTCTTAATCTCTAAATTCCCAGAATCTACAATGGCTGATACAGCACTAGCATTCATAAATTTTTGATAAATGGATGGAAGAATGAAAAAGTCTGTTGAATCCTTAGCCAGTAAGTCATTAAAACAATTGAGGAATTAAAAAATAATGTTACCATTTTCACAATTGATAACCATTAAAATCAGCAAAATACAGAAAGAATGACATGTTTTCTGGTCCAGTGTTCTCAGAGATTTTTTTTTTTCCTGGCTTACTTTCCTTCTGCAAAAGAGATTAGTCACTGATGAATATTATTAGGAAAAAGTTTCAGTTACTAGTCTATTAAGCATTTAAGGGTAAAAGTTAAGATTTCTTTTAATAATTTGGGTTTGGGAGGATTTTTTGTTTGTGTAATTTTGTTTTTCAAAGCCAAATACTTGTACAGCTTTGGATGCTGTCATTTGGAATTGATTAATAATTCTGAAATTTACCTCTTCTACCTGATCTTGTGAAAATTCCAAATGTTAAAAGGGAAGAGAGATTCCTTCATTGCCATCAAAAAATAACTGAGAGAAATGCTTCCATTTATATTGAATCTATCATCTTAACACTGGCCTAAGAAAACTTACTTAAAATTACATGAGCAAGCATGACCCTTAAAGGACAAGACCACGAATGTCTAAGTCCCAATGAACAGTCTGTATGCTGAGTCTCTGCTTCTTTAAGTCTGCTTGTTACCCAGCTAAACTTAATGGAACAAATATACCCAGCTGGCATTCTTCTCTCTTGGTAACTTAAGAATTTTTTTTCACTAATTCAATAGCAATACCAGGATGATGAACTGAATGTATAGTCTCTAAGGGTGTAAGACACTGCTAACCAATTTTAATTGTTCTAGGGGCCAGAAGAAACCTCACTAGTCAACAGCAGTGTTTCAGAATTTTGTTTTCATGGCAAGCCAGTGGGTTTTCCAAGTATAAAGCTAATATCATGTAGCTAACCATTATAAAGAGAAAGGAATAAAATTGAAAGCCAGATATTTAGCAGCAAGTACCATTTCATGAGGGTGTATTTTCAAGAGGGGAAAAATTAACTACAAAAGTGAGTTGGCCAGAGGAACCCCCAGGAGAAACCGGTTAGCTGACATCCATGCAGTCAGTTTACAAGATTAAAAAGCTTCACTTTACAATTGCTGCCAATACTTCAAAAATATAGCTGTCTTTTTCAGTCATTTATTTGTTTCACAGAGAATAGGTAAATATAGAACATCATTCCTTTTTAAATGTGAATATATACATATACACAGAAATAATTCTAACAGAGTACTAAACTTTCACAATTAAAATAAGTGTATTTTACACAACTAATTACTGCCAGCTAACACATATAGTGGACTTCACCAATGGAGTAAAAATTGGGTTATTTAAGCAATCTTAAATGAAGTAAAAAAAAAGTCCTTCAAAGTGAAAGAAACAGTGTGAAGCTATTTTCTTTTAAGTTTAAGTCTGTTCCATTTTCTCTCATGGGCCTCATTTTTGAAACAGCAATTCACTTTCAAAAACAAACTCAAAGCTTTTATTTTTTAATTCAAATCCCATTGTCTGCTGTCTGCAGCAGTTTCCAAATGGAAAAGATGCCCTAAGCTCTGCTGGCTTTTACACAAAAGATTTTAGTAAGAGGAGAAAACAGCAGTTCAAAACAACAACAGAAAAAGCAGACTGTTAATACCAACTGTGGAAAAATCTGAACACACTATGTTCTCTAAATAATGAGTCTGCTGATTGATTATCTTTTAGAACTTACGTTATATCACATTCACACTTTTTAATAACTGATAATCTGGAATAGAGGATTCTAATTTACCATGTTTCGACATACATACACAGTGTCCCAAGAAATGTATACGCACTTTGAAGGCAGTGTTTATTAAAATACATTTCATTTTTAAAATGTAATCGCATTTACAGCTATCAGCTGTTAAAGTCTGTATACATTCTGGGGGGGACACCCTGTATTTTATTCAATGGTAGTTCAAATTTGCCCTGTAAGAATCATTTGATTTGTGAACGGGCCTAACTATAAGAATTCCATTAGAAATGGGTTTCCTTATTATTATTATACTCACACCAAAGGTGCTTTCTCTATTTCAGAGACTCAACTGCACTTGGCAAAACTATTTACAATAAAAACCGCTGAAGAACATTTCTTCAAAAGATGACAGTTGAAAGAATTTCCTGCTTCCTGGCTGCCATCATTATTATTTTGAAGGAATCTGAATCCAGCCTCACTGGACAGATCAAGCCTGGGGAGGACTCCTCACACTGACCAGACACAGGTGTAGGGTTTGTGGGGGAGAAAGGGGATCCCAGAGGCATGCACCAAGTAGGATTTTTCATCAGCTCATTTAACCACCCTATAGTGTTATGATAGGTAGAAGCCTAGAATGCCTAAAATATACACACTCTTAACATCAACAAGTGGGAGAGTCAAAGGGTCTGGCAGGATTGGTGAAGGAAGACAGAAGACAGACCATATCAAAACACCCCATGACTATTTATGTCAGTCGCTCCATGTACTCCTAATACTTTTTCATATTTGATTAAGAACTCCTGCGTTTAGCATGAAAAAAATCTATCCTTTGTCCTATTGACTTGTATTGTTAATTTGTGCAATAGTATTACATTCTTTCTTTTCATCTGAATACAAGTGATAAGAGTTTCATCATCTTTTTAATATTCTTGTGTAACTTTTAGTTGAATCTTTTATAAATAGCATATACATGCCCATAAGTCAGCTAATCAATACTTTTTTGCTAGAAAAATTTAACCTATTAATATTTATTATTACAATTATGTACTCTGTCTTATCTTGGACATTTTGTTCTGTTTCTGCTTCTGTTCCTTTGGCAATATCTCAAGTTTTGCTTTTATCTTCTCAATATTATTATGATAATGTAACATCTTGTTCATTTTATTCATGTCTATGTTTATATATTTCAAAGTTATTTTATCTACATTTCCCTAATTTTAAGAATTTTTTGAATCTCAGCTCTTTCATGGCAAAGTTTTTTAGCATACTATACTCCTCTCACTCTCCCACTATCCACCTACTTCTTGATCTTTGTTAATGTAATCTAGGGATTTAGATTTAAGTTATTAAATTTGTGTTTTCTACTGTATATACCTTCTTTTTCAAGAATCAGTAAACATTAGCATTCAATCTTGTAACAAGATTTGTAACAGTTAATTTTGTTTCTGGTTTGTTGGATTCCGTTGTGTTCAACTCTTTAATGTGATGGTCTCCCCATGTGTGTGATGTCTTTTGCTTCATCTCTGGATTGGTTGATGTGCTCATATCATTTTTTCCAGAAAAGAAATAAGTGGTGTACATTATGTGAGTACTTACTAAGGAAATGTTTTTCTGTTGACTCTGCAAGCGAAAACTCCTTGGTTATGTGTAAAATTAGGTCATACCTTTCTCCTTCAATACTCTGAAGCATTACTCCATTATCTTTCTAAATTTTTAGCCAGTTGCATCCTGCTTAGAAACTTCTAGGAGTTTTAGTTTATTCTTACCTCTATTTGAGGTTCAATTCTTTTTCCAGAACGTATGCAGGTTTCACTGCATTGATTTTACTTGATCTGTGGCCTCTTTCCTATAAATCATGTCTTCTTGTAACAGTGCTACTTTTCTGAATATTTTTTCTGAATTATTCAGTAGATCATTTTCAGAAATGTGCTTTTCTTCTATGACTGCTGGACACAAATGTCTTTTTCTTGTCCTACAGAATGTTTTCACAAGTCTCACTGTTGTTTGCTTGTTTTTTCTCCTTACTTACCCAAGAATTCTGTGATCCATTAATATTGCATCATCAGCTGCAAGAGGTGCATTTACTGAGCCAAAGGTGCCCGTTATAGATTCAGCTTTTCTCAGAAGGTGGCTCTGTCGGTCGTAGCAGTTTCAAACACCTCAGTCTGAGCCTTCTTAACTGTACACTTAAAACTTATTGGAGGTCCCCTCCTTCAGTGCTTTCTTGTAATCCTCTAAATGTCAAGCCAGTCAGAGAGTTTCCTATGCAGCTCCGCAAGATATTGGGACCAGATATACTTTCCAGAGCCTGGGCTCTGATCACAGTGGGGAGCTGGGAAAAGAGGCACATCCATGTGGCAGGGACTGAAGGTCACCCTTCAGCACAAACTCTTGGCAGGAATGTAGTCTTCGTCCCAGGCAGTGAGAGGAGAAACAAAGAGATTGGGCCCTCAGACCTAATCTCAGGACCCAAATTCACACAACTCAATGGGAATGGAAACCTCAAGAAAATAACAAGAAAACAGTTCCAAGCTAGCAAACCCCACAGGACTCAGTCGACCTTCCATAGGAAAGTTGCTACGACCCAGTCAGTGTGTGCTTGGGACTCCTGAGGAAGACAACTCCAGCTAAAAATGAAACCACAAACAAGCACTGCAACATTCCTTATAATCAAGAGGACTTGAAATTAACTAAATACCCTTGAATCGGGGAGATGACAAATAAAATATGGTATAGTCATATGATAAAATACATTCAATGTTAAGAGGATTGCATAAATCAACACAGACAGGACACGGATATATAAAATTAAATATAAAAAGAGCAAACAAAACTAATATATATATAATCTGTAGTACTCATCTAACGTTTTAAAAATAGAAGCATAAAATGCATATACATTAACATAATCTATGCATATAAAATAACAGACTGAAATATTACACACTGAATCAGTTATAGTGGTTTTCTTGCCGGTGGAGGGGGCAATGCGATCAGACAGGAACAACAAAGCAGGCGACGTCATCTGTAATGGTTTAGTTTAAACAAGCTACCAACAACTGGATTCTTCAGGATGGCTACCTTGGTGTTTGCTCCCTTTATTATTTTATTTTTATTTTCTCTTAAAACGAAAGAATATACTACTAACTTGTACAAAAACTGGAGCCAGCCTCTGTCTTCCCACCCTGGAAAATAACTCGCTGCAACTAATGAATAGAACACTCGTTACGACCCATGCACACAGACTCGGTCAGCCTGAATCCTGGCTCTGCAGAGCCCGGCCACTCCTGGGGTTCACCTGCAGGCCGATCCACGCTCCGAAGGGAGCTACTCCAGCCATCACCACACGTGGAGACACAACTTTGAAATGGTTATTCTGGCATTAAGGTGAGGACGAATGAAGGCGTCCCGAGGGCGGAGAGCGGCCCCAGGTGCTCTCCCCGCCTCCCTGTGCTCACTGCCACGGGGCCTCGGTCAGAGCGCCCCCAGCGGCCCGGCGGGGCAGGGAGCCGGCGCTCCAGAGACCACAGCGCAGCCCTGGCCCTTCACGGGCTCGCCGGGAACAGGGGAGCCGCTGACCGACGCTTCCCCCCGGCTCTTGTGCTTGGTCACTAGGGTTCACCTCTTTCTCTAAGGCTCTGGTGGAGGTGGGTGTCCTCTGCCAAGACTAACGTCCCTTTCTCATTCTGAGCTCCTGACCCAGCCGCATGGCTCATTTGGGTAAAGCTTTTTTTTAGGTGAAGACGTTTCTGTCATACTTAAGATCAGAATGGGCCTTGCCCTGGGAGAGTGACTTTCCGAAAGGACCGCGTGCTGCCCTCACCTGCGCTTTCATCTCGGCGTAGACCTTCTCCGAGTTGAGCTCCACCTGCCTCCTGAAGTCCTCCAGGGCGGCGTCCGCCTGCTGGGCCTGCGCCCGCTGCGCCTCGGCCACGCGCGCCAGCTGCTCCTCCCTCTCCCTGGAAGGGCAG